AGGTGCTGGCTGGCAGCTATAATCAGCAGTTTCTCAATCTTCTATTGCTTGTTTCATTCTTCCTCTCCCAGTTTATACATATACATTTCTGACCCCTATGCTGGAACAATAAAAGTGAAGAGAAGAAAAGAGGGGAGTAGGAATGTTTTCCTGTGACTGACACCAAAACCAGAGCTCCCTGAGCATGGGAGGTAGTGCAGCCAGCCCTGCCCCTCATGGGCATTTTCTAGTTCTAGTTCTCATTTTCTCGTCTTTTGGCTATCTCAGCAGGGATGTCCCTCACAGGAAGTAATCTGTCCCCTTATTCAAGGTTTTACTTTTCCATGTTTCAGCCACCCAAGTACAACCACAATCTGAAAATATTACATGGAAAATTCCAGAAACAAAAATTCATAAATTGCATCCCATTCTGAATAGCATGAAAAACTATTTTATTATTGTTTCACTCTCACTGTGCCTAATTTGTAAATTAAATTTTATTGGAAGTGGGGCTGGGGATTTAGCTCAGCGGCACAGTGCCTGCCTGGAGTGCGAGGTCGTGAGTTCAATTCCTGGTACCGGAAGAAAAAAAAAAATTTATTGTAAGTACATAAATACAGAAAAAATATGTAGTTTAGTACTGTTTGTGGTTTTAGGCATCTGCTGGAGGTCTTGGGTTGTATTCCTCCCAGACAAGGGGCGGTTGCGCTAGTCAGTGGACCTCTGCTCTGGCTGGTCATTTGTGAGGTTTTCCTCAGTGCTCCGGCATTCTGCAGTCACCTCCTTCTGCTAAGGTCCTCACTGCTCTCCACGCGACTATCTTAGACATGATCAGTGGAACCCAGTCCAGAAACTCATGCATCTGTGCCCCACGTTTGGACCTCCAGCAGCTCTTACACATTCTTTACTCTGCAAATTCCCTGGTGATGTTAACTCCTTAAATGCAGCCCTCTGCTATGCTGGAAAAGCCACTCATCCTCAAGACTTCCCATACTATTCAGACCTTAGCCCCTGGGGCTCTAAGAGCTCGGAGTTTTCCATGAAGCCCTTCTCATCTAATCAAGGAGGTGTCCCTCACCTTCCTCTTAGGTACAGAAATGGAGTCGTGTGAAAAATATTCCTCAGAGTCGCTCTTCTAATGACCTGTGCATTTGTCAGCACCTGAACAGTCATTAATTTGGTGTGCAAATAAAAAATAAAATCAGCAAAGATGTTGGGAGATCTCAAGGTAGAACATAGATCATGGCATATGAATCTAACCATATTACAACTATTTCACAGCCTCAGTGAAGGAGGTAGAGGAGTTGTCCTGAACAGCTTTGGAAAATAGATCTGTCACTGGAAGCTATGCTAAAGAAAAAAATGACTCTGTATACATACTGTATTCAAGTTAATGAATTCATCTCAAGGGTGCTGTGTAGCAGTTCCAGAAACTGCACACCAGGGTTGATCATAACAAGGCCTAGAATCAGTGATACCTCAGGAGCGGTGAGCATACCCAGTGCCCCAGTCTTGGTTTCTAATTGCTGCTCTCCAGAAGATCTTTAGAGAATTGGCAGATTCTAGCACTTTGATGAGGAAAATACCAGCTAAACTTGGTGTCATGTTGTAGATCCAGGAAGTAAAGAGGTATTGAGGGAAAAAAAGAGATAGAATATAACAAAAATACACAGTGGCCAATTAATGATCATATTAGATTATAACCCAAAGAATAGAAAAATACCCATGCATCCATACTGGCATAAAGAAATGATTGGAGTCTCATAAGCTGTTTTGAGAAGGACTGGAACATGGGTCATATGATGGAAGTGGGAGACAATACAGTTAATACAGAGGTTAAACTACTCACAATGTATTTGAAAGCTTTACTTATCAGTTCTTTCCCTTTAGCATAAAAATATTAATCAGAAAGATACTTTTCTAGAAAACAGCACAAGATTTAACAGATGATGTTAATCTGTTTATGAAGGAACAGGTTATTTCTTTTAAAGTACTCTAAATATTTAATTCTAAGCAGTATCTCAGTATTGGCTTGCAGAGAGTGAATAAATAAAAAAGAACCAGAGTTTCATAGACAAATTATTGAAAAATGTTGTGTAGAACTTGCCAGGTGTGGTGGCGCATGCCTGTAATCCCAGCACGTGGGAGGCTGAGGCAGGAGGATTGTTGAGACCAGCCTGGGCTACAAAGTGAGCTCAAGGCCAGCCTGAACTGCAGAGCGAGACCCTGTCTCATAAAAGACAAAAAAAAAAAAAAAAAAAAAGAAAAGAAAAATGTTGTGTAGAAATGTATAAAAGAAAAATGTGTAGAAATGGATAAAAACTGCCAAAACTGTGTACTCCCTAGAGGCTATGTCTGTCAAAACCTTTCTTTAAGCAAAAGGTAATACGGCACTGTGGTCTAAAGGCAGTTATAGTGACTTGCAGTGGACACTGGCCTTATCTCAAGGGTATAGTATTTCAGCAAAATGTAGCTTCTTTTAGATATTTGATTTATATATAACATATTTATGATGTTTATATACATTAATATATATACAAAAGAGAAATGATTGGATAAGTAGATAAAGGGAGGAAAAGGAATAAATCTTTACAAAAGATTCCAAATAATGTAAATACTTCTCCACCTATGAAATGGAACTTAATTTCCCTCCCCTTGAGAGTGGGTGAGACACAGGATTCACTTCCAAATACAATGTAGGGAGACAAAATGGTAACTGTACAGTGGAGCGGTATGGCCACGTCACCTTATCCAAGCCATCCAGTGATGTCATACTGCTGTGTTCCCTGATAGGACTTGAATAAAAGAGCACTTCATGCACAAGGTTACCTTTGCAAGCATCTGTACTGCAGGCTGAGCATGGGGAAACATGAGGGAAATTCTGCCAGTTCTACACACTGAGGCATATTTTACAGAATACCTCATTGTGAACCTGTGGAGATCTCAAGGTCATGAGAAACAAAGAAAAATCTAGAAATTGGCACAGACCAAAGAAGAGATATGACAAGTAATGCAATGTGGTATCCTGAATTGGATCCTGGAATAGAAAAGAGAAGTTATTGGGAAAGATGCAGTCCAAATAGTGCATGGTGGTTATGTAAGACGTTAGCATTAGGAGAAAGAGTGAAGCTACATAAGAACTCTCTGTTCCTTTTTTGAAGCTTTTTTGTAACTTTAAAATTATTCCAGAATTAAAAGTATATGTTTTACAATGTCCTTCTAATCACGCCCCTTCAGTATGAGTATAGAGTTTTAAAAAATTTAACCTATATTCCTCTTCTCTCTCTCTCTCTTTTTTTTTTTTTTTTGTCAACCTGTGCATGATGAATTCTCGCATCTCACCTTTATAGTCTGGTTCTTGTTATCGTTCGGTTCAGGTGCAAACTACCATTTACGTTTTCTGTTACATTTATGTATGCTAAAAGTGTCTGTAGGTTGATATACAAGACACTGAAATCAATGGTTGCCTCTGAGGAAATATACTCTGTGTTTTAGGGACAAGGCAGAACAGTTTCTCAAGCTTTAATCTTGCACCTTTTGGAATTTGAGCTATGTGAATTTCTGTCCTTCAGAATTTTAATTCAAGTTTAATTTTTCTGTTGTGTTATTCTCTGAAGTCACTTTTCAGTGACTCAGGAACTATTTCTGTAATACTGTCACCTCCTAAGGAAGGTTCTTTCACATGTTCCATGTTGTGCTTCACTGGAGTTTTGGAAATAATTTTCTTTCTTCAGAGCAATCTGCTATTGCTTGGGTCTGACTTCTTCCTTGTTTCTTCTTTCTACATTTCACACATATGACTGCCTAGGTTTTTTGTGACTTGCTAAATAATTTGGCACTTCTTTTTTCCACTGTTTGTAGCCTATGTAAAGAAAGGAGAAACTTTGTGAAGGTGTTGTGGCTTCATTAAAAAAATTTAGGATGTATATTCCTGATCATTTTTACTTTTCAGGAAAGGGCCCAAAAAGGTTACCTTTCACATTTATTCAAATGTCAATCATACATTTATTGCTTATTTATGAAGCACTTTGTATATAGCCAGGCTTTCAAGCTTTGTACACCTGCCTAAAGAAGACAGAATAAAAAGGTTGTCTGTCTGTTAAAAAAAAAAAGAAGAAGAAGAAGAAGAAGAAGAAGAAGAAGAAGACAGAATAAAGCTGGTACTGTCATTAATACAGCCTCTGGCTGATCCAGTCCCTACCCCAAACCGTTCCTTAAGAAATGTCATGCTCAAAAAAAAAAAAAAAAAAAAAAAATAAATTAAAAAAAAAAAAAAAAAGAAATGCCATGCTCATGTTGGAGTTGCTAGTTTTCCTAGGAAGGACCAAGACATGAGAGTCACAAATGTTGTTCCCTATAAAGAAACCGCATGGCTGAACCTAAGGGATTTTAAGTGATATAAATCAGATGAATATTATATAATCTCACTTATATCTGGAATCTGAAAAAGTCAAATTCATCGAAACAAAGAGTAGAAAAGTGGTTACTAGGGTCAGAAGGTAGGGAAAATGAGAGTTGTTGGTCAAAAGGTACAAATTCCAGCAATATAGGACCAATAAGTTCTAGAGATCCAACATCTAGCATGGTGACTGCAGTTAATAATGCTGCATTGCATGTTTGATATTTGCTCTGAAAGAATAAATTGTAAGAATAAATCTCATCATGTAGAAATGGGAACTGTGGGGTAATGGGTATGTCAGTTATCTTGACTATAGGAATCTTTTCACAATGTACATTTGTATTACAGTATCACGTTATACACCTTACATTTGTATTTTAAAATGTTTTCTCTTGGCTTCTTTGGGTTCCCATGAAGAGGTTTTCATCCAGAGCATGAACCAATCCCTGTTAGTAGAGCTCATACAGTTACCTGACTTTCTAAGGTATATTTTGCAATCAGGTTGCTAAATTCCTTTTATTACTACAGAGCTTACCTTTTCTTAGCTGTTAAGAATCTTAAATAAGCATCATTTTAAAAGACACAGAAATAAACCTTTTGCCATCAATTCTTTATTTTTTAGCAAGTCTTTTCCCTTGTTTAACCGGTGCATCCCTCAAACACCTGAGTGCTATTCACTGTTTGCATCTGTTTTGATAAATGATGTTGACATGCTCCATCAAATTCTACGTGGAATCATGTCAGGAAGAGACACCATCCTTGGCCTGTGTATCCTTGCATTAGGTAATTTTCAGTTTATTTCAGTAACTATTTTTATGCCATAGTTTCTAGCATTTCTGTATGTATTCCTGTGAAAATTAGCTTCTCGATTTAAAATATAAAACTTCATATTTATTTCCTTTCTAGATATTTTCAATGTTTTAGGTGCAAGTGGAGGAATGGAAAGTAAGAATGGGCGAAGACCAGCAGGCTATCTGCCAGAAAGCTTTGCTGGGTGGGGTTGTTGTAACAGACTGACATTGTTTGTGTGTGGTCTTCAGCTGTGCGTAAGACATGGATAGGTAGCACAGATTTCCAGTTTATGAATTGCCTGTGAAGAGTACAGCCATCGGGAAGACTAGAAACCATGTGTTTAGGCCCATATGCTTCCTAATTATGAGTGATCTAAATTAGAGAAAGGGAAGGAAGAGTACGTATCCATATTAAACGAGATAAGAATGCAGTGCTAATGTGTTCAACTCCTCCCAAAAAACATACTTGCTTTGGATTGTGGGCAAGCAAGGGCTTTGAGCATAGACGTGCCTCCTCCAGGCATTTGTGGAAGCAGCTGCCCATTCTTGCCCTCTGGTTTCACATTTGCTGTGTTTTGGTTTGCTGAGCCAGGAAGAGTCACCTTGCTCTTAAACAGGTTACTGTACTCTGCTACTTTAGCGAATAGCAATAGCTCAGTGTCTAGCACCTTCCCAGTGGTAGCTCTCCAACTTCTGACTTGAAAGAATAAATCACTTTGGCCACCCTGTAACATATTTCTGCCAGTTTACAAATTGAATTTCTTAGTGTTACTAATTCCTGAGTACTAAAGTTACTAATTCCAAAGTTACTAATTCCTGAGTACTTGAGGAAACTTAACTAGTCACTGTCATGTAATTTGCAGACTTTTTATTTTGGCTGAGTATGCCTTTGAATGACCCTAATAGGGTAGCTTGACTCCCAGATACCAGCGGTAACCACAGATACCAAAAAATCCAGGCTGGTGCTACTGTCACATATGATGACCAAAGTCCCTACAAGGATTGTATATGGTAGATTCATAATGATATTGACAGTTGACATTTACTGAGCACTTATCATATGCCAGGCATTGTGTTTCTTCTTAACTCAGTAAGAGCTCATCAGACTCTTGCCGCACTCTAGAAGAGGAAATAGCCTTAGAAACCTAAGCCAGTTGGCCAGGGTTGCATAGCTAGTAGAAAACATGGTAGCGCTGCCTTAAACCTAGACATGTGTGATTCCAAACCTATGTTATTAACCACTATTTTGAAATATCGGGGCTGGGGATTTAGCTCAGCGGCAAAGCGCCTGCCTGGCAAGCACAAGGTCGTGAGTTCGGTTCCCGGTACCGGAGAAAAACCAAAAAAAAAAAAAAAAAAAAAAAAAGAAAGAAAAAGTGAAATATCTATATGCAATCCTGACTTTTGTTAGAGAAAAGTAAAACATTATTTATATATTACTGAAATATTTAGAAAAATGTATACGCCTGAAAGCCCATACATTAGGAAATGAAAATGCAGTACTTTGTATATATAGCTTACTTTATAATTAGACACTTAAAATTTTCATGTTAAAGGCATTATTCTTTTAGAGTAAATAAAAGTATCTAAGAACATCTAAAGTTAGACCTTGCATAAGCATAGTGTGAAGAAAAAAGACAGGTATAGTAAAATTTTTAAGTAATTCACTTGTACTTTTAAGGAAAAAAGATTTAAGTATTTGGTAATAAAATACCTTCTTTTTAATTTATTTTTTAATTCAAAAAAACTTTCAGAGAGTGGCTTATTGCAGCTAAGTTTATGCTGCAGAGATTGCCCAGGCGGAGGATCTTGTTATTTCTATTGGGTGTTTGGTATATATCCCAAGATACTGCAAGGTTGAACAGAACCTTCAACCCTCACTTTTATGGGGTTGGGGAGGTTGGTCACCTTCAGTTTAACATCATTCCTTTCACCCTTTGTTGTTCTTGGGCCTCATGAGTTTTACTTAATTTTTCAGCCTTGTCTTTGGCTATGATGTTCATCTTCCGATTCATCACCACTCTTCTGGTTCACATTATCATTTCATTGGTTATTTTGGGATTGTTCTGTAAGTATTTCTGCTTGATTGATTTCTTTTTTATTAGATGAAAAGACTTCATGAAGTGTAGAGCTCAGGAGTTGGCATTTTTGAGGTACATGACTCTTAGAGAGTATCTAGCCCCATAATTTTATGTGACAAAAGGTCCAGCCCAAGAAGGACAATGGGAATTGCTTATGTCCACAGATAATGGCAAAGTTAACACCAAATCTGTTGTTGCATCTACTATACCATGCAACCTTCCCACTGTGTAACCCTGTATCAGAGCACTGAGAGAGAGTTCTGGTGCCCATTGAGAGCATTTTGAAGGACTGATTTCTTCTGAACCCACACTCACCTGTGAGTATGTGGGTGCTGCAGTTGTCATGCAAAGCCTCTGGCCAATCTGAAGAAAGTCCTGGAACCCTGTATGGGTTTCCTGTCCATTGCTGGACTGTGGGTCTCCCCAAGGGTTGATGGAAAGAGGCTTTCGGGGGCAGGGACACACCTGAAGCTCAAGGCTCTTTATCAGTTGACATAGGGTGTTTTAATTTCTAATGACTTATATGGCTGTAGTGTTTCATTCCTCTGAATACTCAGCTCTGACCTTAGCAGTGCAGAGCCCTGGAGCCCTATGTCGAGGAATAGGCAGGATGACTCACAAAGGATACTTTCCCCCATCTACAATTAGTAGATGACTGTGACCTCCTTAGAGATACTATGGAAATGGCATACAGTAGCTTCTTCTACTTGAATGCAAAGTGTTTGCCATGTCAGAGTATCCTCAGAATAAGCCTCTGATTTGCATGCTTCCCACAGGCCATATGAACCCACCTGGCTTTCTGGGTGATTTGCTGCCTGCAGTTTGTTTGAACATTTTAGACTTTGGACTCCAGTGTTGTTTCTCCCATCATCCTGTGGGGTGCAGTTTCCTTCCTGTTCCCACCCACACCCAACCCATAGGGTAGGCACCTGTGTTCTGGGGTCACCTTCTGGGTCGCCCAAAGACCAGCAGCCATCCCAGCACTGCCCGGTCCTTTGCATGGTGCTCTTCCAGAGGAAGCTGCTGGCTCTAAAGTCCCTGGGAATTTGGGACCTATAGCCTAAGCAGGGCAGCTGGGTCTGCCAGCGGGCGGCTAGACTTCAGGTGAGGTTGTGCATGCCAGAGTAGGGAGTGGCTATCTCAGCATGTCTAAGCCCTGCTGGTGTTTTGTTTTCTAGTTGTCTGCGGTGTCTTATGGTGGCTGTATTATGACTATACCATTGACCTCAGCATAGAATTGGACACAGAAAGGGAAAATATGAAGTCTGTGCTGGGGTTTGCTATTGTGTCTACAATTATCACGGTAAGAAACATACTTCAGCAGTGAGCTGACTAGCCCGCCAGGGTCTAAAATTCTAATCATTGAGTTCTAGTAAAAAAAAAACCAAACAGCTAGCATTTGTTTGTTTGTTTGTTTTTTCAGCTCAGAATATGCCCACATGACTCAGTGCCTTCTTTGGATTTGAGATACCTGTTTGTGAATACATCAGAACCTTCAGAAAAAAAGAAAAAAGTTTTAGCTCTTTCCAAGTCATTTCTGCCGTCTCCCAGAGACTGATTTGCTATCCTTACTGTTGAGCTATAAAGTGAATGCAGCAAGGTGGGAGGGGGACTGGTTTAGGACTGGTCCCATTTCCTGTGTGCGAGGACAGGCACCCCTTCCAGCCAATGTTCCGCTTTCCCCAGGGAGTGATGGCTGCCCCTGAGTACACAGAGCCCTTTGTTTCCAGCCTGCTGGTCACTGGGTTATTTCGGTTTCCAAGGAACCTGCTACCTCCTCTGGGAACTGTGTATTTGAAGACAGGCCAACTTAGAACATCGAGGCTGCAGGTGCTAGTTGTTGAAGGAGGGTGGTTGGCAACTAAAATTCATTCAGGTCACTCTCCTGTGGCAGTAGAAATGCGAGAATCCGCGAGACCCTGGAGAGGGTTTGGAGTTGATTTCACAGAACTCATGGTCTAATGATGGCCTGTTGCTTACTGTTCCATGGGGAGCAGCCAGGGATTGCCACAAGCCCATTATACCCTTCAGCAAACACAAATTCTCTCACCAGCTCAATTCTCTCTTCTAAGGAAGTCCTTCAGGTCCTAGATACAGTCTTTGTGCTTTTCTTCTTTCAACACTAAGGTTTCATGTTTGGATTCTTCACATGAAATATATCAAGGAGCAGGTGGCAATAGGGCAGGGACCAGGTGCACAGCTGAGCAGGAATAGTTCAGGAGGCTGGAGAAGGCTTCCCTTCACCTCAGGCCTGGAGCATTGGGGCACAGAGGTAGAGGGTTGAGAGCTAAGGAGACTGGGTTCCTCCTTTAGGCCTCCATAGACTCCCTTCATCTCCACACACTGAACTATTCATGGCCGTCTGATCATAAGGTCGGGGTGGATTCTCTCGCCTAAGTATGAGGTGAGGGAAAGAGGAAGCTGTGAGAGGAGACAGGGGCTGTTCTCACCTGTGTCCATGAGGATGTCCCTGTGGCTGGTAATATGGCCAGAACCGAAGCACAGCCCACAGGCCACTCATTTGGCATGGGTTCCTCACAAGTGCGCTTGGCTTGAAGAGCCAGGTTTTACTCTTACTCTCATGCGAGTCCAGGTCTTTTGTGATTGGCACAATTTATGTGCAGCTTCTAGCATGCACTGGGCTGGGCACTAAGTAGAACTAGCAAGACGCAAAGTGCAGCGCTCACAGGTGCCGGTGATGCAGTGGAAGGTCCTCAGGACGTGGCCCACAGGGAAAGAGCCTGGCCTTTGCCTTCTCAGGGAAGCTGGGCAGGCTACGCAGCAAGAGGGTGGCTGTGCCCAGGGAAGCCATGGCCTACTCTGTTCATGCTCTGCTAGCCAACCTGCCTGCTCCCACAGACCCTGGGCAGGGTGACAGAGCAAAAACCAAGCCCTGTCCTCTCAGGCTAGCACCACTCCCACCCCAAGACTGGTCTCCAAGGGGAAAGAACAGCGATCAGCAGCCCCTCTGCCCTTCTCTTCCCATTCTCTCACCCTTCCTGCTTAGAGGAGATAGAGAAAGGGGAAACCGAGATTAGCAGAAGAACAGGAGAGGGTCGCCCCTCACCTCATCCCTTCTTGCCCACCCCAGAACCCTCTCATGGTACTGCCCAGCAGGGACTCAGATGCCTCATCAAGTGGCCTATGTTCCAGAGAGGCCCTTTCCAGCCCTCTCCGTGTGGCTGTGTTCCTTCTCCTGAGTTCCCAGCAACAGCTGCCGTACAAATAAACTTGAGCACATCCCTCAGGGACAGTGGAGGCCAGTTTCAGTATAAGCATTTACAGCGATGAAGCAAAAGGGTGGGAAAGGCATTGAATGCTCATCTCCAGCAGCAGTCCAGGAGAACTGGCCGATATACAGCTCCCTGAAGCTTAGAGCCCAGGAGAGTGATGGCAAGCCTTGGCCCCTGTGTGGGAAGTCAGTTCTGCCACCTGACCAGCTCATCCGCCCCTCTAGCACCAGACCCCAGTAGGTGATGCTGTCTCTGTCCAGACTGAGGGAAGTAACAGACTACAGTAAACCCATCACTTTTTTTTTTTTTTTTCTGGTACCAGGGATCGAACTCACGACCTTGCGCTTGCCGGGCAGGCGCTGTGCCGCTGAGCTAAATCCCCAGCCCCAAACCCATCACTTTTAATGGACATTTTCCCAGTGCACTGTTATATGTATTCAAATGGTAAAATACATACACATTTAAAGGTACACATGTTTTGCATTCCATTTAGGATCTAGAAGCAAGATGTATTTGCCTAATGATTACATCACTTTCCTTCCTCAAGATTTTAAATTTTTTAAAAGTTCCTCTTTTTTGTTGATTTGTTAGGCACTGAGGATACGGAGGTGGTAGCTCGCACTCAGCCTTTGCAATTTAAAATGCTGAGTGTCTCTCTTGACCTCCCCTGACCTCTGCAGCAGGGTCAGAAGCTGCTGCTCCCAGATCCTAGAGCAGTGCCTGCACTGTTTGTTCCACCATCCTCTCCCCACCTTTCCTCCACTTGCCTATGAGATCCTAGAGGACAGGAACACTCAGACCCAGTTGGGAAAAAAAGAACACCCCAGGCAAGGGCACAGCACACATAGGGTCCTGTGGGAAAGAGAGCCACCTGCCGGAGGTTCCCTTGATGAAGGTGTGAGGCCCAGATCCAGGGAGGTGTTGTGTCAGTAGGGACCTGATTGGTGGTAATGATGACTTTGATCGTCATCTAGAGGGGCTGAGGAGGCACCCACGGATTTTCAGCAAGGAGATGACATCACTGGCCTTACCCTTCACAGAGGTCTCTTCAGCTGCGGAGTGGAGAAGGAGCTGAGATGGGGCTAGGTCAGGGAATTAAATGCAGGAAGCTAAGAAGGAGCTTTTAGGGATTCTGACGAGAAAGGGTGAGAGTGGGGCTGTGGCATCAGTGTAAGGGTGGAGGGGAAAGGATAGATGCTGTCTTCCTTACTTTTCTTGTGGCTGAAACAAAATATCCAGTATCAACAAGCTAAGGAAGGAAAGGTTAATTTAGCTCACAATTTAAGGAAGGGTGGCATGGCAGAGGGGAATCGCAAAGGAGAAACAGTTCGTGGCAGGCAGAAGGTAGGAGGCAGTAAAACAATAAAGTAGAACGAAGCAAGCAGCAAGTGACAAGCAGCAACCTCTTTCTGTCTCTTGTATCCTATCCAGGCTACCCACCCTTAGGGCAGGTAGCACTCACACCCAGGGTGGGGCAGCCTTAATCCTAGCATCACACTATGAATCAATTCTAGCATCACATTTTTGATCCCAGCGTCACATACCCTAAATATCCAGCCATGTTGGAAAAACCCAGCCTATGACCACATGAGGCTTTAAGGAGCATCTAGATACAATCCACAACAGATGGAAAGGTATTTATGACACCAAATCAGGGGTGACTGGGATTGTGCTGTGTGCCAGGCACTGTGCCAGCCCTTGGCAATAAGGTGTGGCCCTGACCTCAAGGAGATCAATCTAAGGGGGAAATTCAGACATGTAAACATTTGCAGGAGAGTATGTTGACTACTACAATAAAGTAAAGGACAGAACAGGAGCACACAAGAGAGGAATCTAACTAGAAAAGTCCAGAAGAATTAGGACCATTAGAGACAGAGAACACAGAGGGAAGAAGAGATTTAGTATGAAGACAACTAATTTGGTCCAGGACAGTTTGTGTTTGAGATGCTATGGGGCATGTGCAGCCTTATTAATAGCTAATATGGGCTTATTCATCCACCATTTAGAAAGAGGAGAACCTAGGGTTTTGATTTGAAGGTTGTCAGTGCCTGGAAAGAATGCAAAAGCTACAAAGGAATAGGAGATTCCCCCCCACCAACAAATAGCCTAAGAAGCAATAACTGAAAAAGTAGAGATGCCAGGCCTAAGGGTATACACCTATAATCCCAGCACTCAGAGACTGAACCAGGAGAATCACCAGTTCAAACCCAGCCTGGGCAACTTAGCAAGACCCTGTCTCAAAATTAAAAATGACTGAAGATGTAGTTCAGTGTGAAGATACTGGGTTCAATCCCCAGTATTGCCCCCACCCATAGATCACACACACACACACACACACACACACACACACACACATGAGAGAGAGAGAGAGAGACAGACAGAGAGACAGAGAGGGAGACAGAGAGAGACAGAGAAAGAGAGAAGGAAAGAGTGCTGTGGTCAAACAAGATGTGCAGTGCTGTATGGAATTTAATAATCAGGAGCTTACAGGAAGTGATCTCAGAGAAAGCAGTGTTGGAAAGAGTGTTGCAGTGTGGAGGTTTGCAGATGGGTGAAGAATAAGTTGACATAAGAAATGTGAATGGTGAGTGAGACAGGCTGAGTAATTTGACTGTGAAACGAATGAGAGAGAAGGCAGTGGCTGGAAGGATGTGGAGACGAGGGATGGTAATTTCCTTAATATGAGAGACTGGCCAATATTTATATGCAGGAAGGGAAAAGCTAGTAGAAAAGAAGGATGAGACATCACTGTTTACTTCCTTCACACTCATATTCCCTGGTTCCTTTGCAATCCTTCTTGGGGTGGGGTGGGAGGGGGATGCAGAAGATAGTTCCTTCACCGTGAAGCACCTTATTCTCATTTTCTCTTGCTCTTTGACAAGCTGAGTCTGAAAGCTCCTTTAGTTTCACTGTGATAGCTGCAGGATCTAGAATAATGACCACCACATAGTAGGTACTCAGTCCGTGTTTGGGAATTTAACAGCATAGTTATTACAAAAATAGTGAGTAGCTATCTATTTGAAATAATTTACTCTGACCTCTTTTTCAACAGGCAATTCTGCTCGTCTTGATTTTTGTCCTCAGAAAGCAGATAAAGTTGACAGTTGAGCTCTTCAAAGTCACGAACAAAGCAGTTAGCAGCTCTCCTTTCCTGCTGTTGCAGCCAGTGTGGACGTTTGCCATCCTCATTTTCTTCTGGGTCCTCTGGGTGGCTGTGCTGCTGAGCCTAGGAACTGCTGGTAAGGGACAGTGGGTATAGACTCCACCCCTCGGAGTCTCACACAGATGTCACCATTTTGGAATCACTGGCCTACTTCTGGGACACCAAACCTCTCCTGCACCAGCGTTGTTAGTACTAGGGGGCTTTATCATGAGGGAGAACAGGTGATTCTTTTTCCTCTTGTATGTGAGCACCGAGAAAGCTGGGTGAGTGCTTCATAAGATAATAAATTACGTAAAGACTGACAACTTCAGTAAATTGCAGTATGAACCAAGGTAGGTAGAATATCATCAGATATCTCCAGGTTTAACTTTTATCCAAGGTACTTTGCCAACCCCTATCAAATCAACAGGTGATAAAGATCCCAGGAAAACCTGAAGAATTTGTTGTGCCCAGTAGAACCAGCTTAAATTTAAGTGCATATAGAAGTTCACAGTGCTTTGGGTTTGAAAAGACAATTCCATATTCTCCATCCTCCTGTCATATCCAAATGACAGGCTATTCCTCAGAATCAGGCTTGGTACTTTATTATAGTACAGATCTATGGATTGTATCATTGAATTACTAGATATAGAGAAAGACACAGAGACAGAGAGAGAGAGAGAGAGAGAGAGAGAGAGAGAGAGAGAGAGAGAGAGAGAGAGAGTGAGCACAAATGCCCCATAATAAGGTGACCATATTCTGTGGCAGCATAGTTCAAAGTGCCATCTGAAGCCAGATGATGAGCTTATGCACAGAACATGTATCTCTGCTTCCCTCACTGTGAAACATGAACAGATGAAAGAGTGATGCTCTCAGTAGCACAGCTGATCTGCATTCTGGCAGGAGCTCCTCATCCCATTGCAGGCTAGTAAGAAGTAATGTGATGGCAGGTGGCTACTCTGTGGGCCACCACCTTTGAGGGACACTGTTCTAGGTCTTCTCTAACTTCTCTGTTTGAGGTGGTTACAGCCCAGATTCACACCCAGATGCAATTACAAGACAGTAAGTCGCTTTCTGAGACTGTCACAAGGCAATTAAGAACCACAGCAGATGTCAGATTAACAAGATGAATGTAGTTCTTTAAGGTTTCATCAAGCTCCATTTGTCTCTTATATCTCCAGTCAATTGAACCAGTGTGTGTGCTCTTGTATAAGAGTGTGTGTGAATATGCTCTTGTATGTAACAGCAACTGCTGTACAGTAGATTCACAGTGAACTTGTTTCCTTCTCTCCCCCAGGGAGTTAATTAATTCCTCAGAATCAAGATGGTTAGTATCCCCCTGAAAGTCACAGCCCTTTGCAGCCTGTATCTCTGGTTTCAAAGATGCTATGAGGGCAGCCTCTTCAGATGGAGTCTCTGGCAGCTTTTGAAAGCCTCTGGTAAACTTCAGATAACTATCCAGACTAAAATTAATCAACATGAGATTTTTCTAGAGGGTAAAGAAAGCTCAAAGTAACAGATACTTAAACAAGATGTGAAGTAATGTCTCTCACACATAGATGAGGTCCATGAGAGAGATGAAGTCCATGCCAGCATGTCCCTCAGAAGTCCAGGACCCGGGTACCTCCTTGTTGCACACCCTCTGCCACTTGCTTCCACTGAAGTGGACATTTGGGCTCCATTATTCCACTGTTTAGAAAATGGCAAGGAGGAAGATGAGCCTGGCCCCTACCGGAAGTCATAGGCATCACTTAGCCACCTACACCCCTGGCCAAATCCTAGGTACCTAGTAATCCCCATCAGCAAGGAGGGCCAGAGAATGTAGTTTCATTTTGGTCATCCACGCACACTGAAAACTTAAAAGTTCTATTACTAACTGCAATGGCAAGCAGAAACACCTAAATGACACCCAGGATTTGGAGGCAGATTTATTTTACGTTGACAGGCACTGATGGGATCATAGTATCAGGCCCTGATTGCTGGTGGTCTAGGGCTTATATGGGGTAAGCAGGCAGGAAGAATAGAGGCAGAATGGCTTGTCAATTGAGGATTGGTTCTTACAATATGCATCATAGTGACCAGCTATGCATCACAGTGACCAACTATACATCATAGTGACCAACCATTTCTAAAAATGAAAATAATAGGAACTGTTACCAAAACCATTGCCTGGGCAACTAACACACTGAAGTATACTGGCTGGGTTGAGGGGAAGCATCTTCTGCTACATAACAGCAGAGGTCAGCAGTCACTGTGAGAGAGTAGGAAGTCTCCCCCAAAATAAGGCTGAACAGTCTTCCTCTAGCTCACTGGTTTGAAGTGGTCTCTGTCCTGGTCAGGAAGGGGGGCTGGGGCTTTGTGCATGGAGGGAAACAAGCATGAGTTGGAAATGTCCTAAATGCTAAGCTGTGGTGTCTACTATAAGCATCACAATCTCCTTTCATTTATGTGCTATTCTGAAGTTACAGTGAAGAAAATAGGTTCTGAGTGAGCCATTTGCTGAAGGTCAGAAAACAAGGAGGTACTGCCCCCCTTTTTTGAGAGAGGGCCTTAGTGTGTAGCTCAGTCTGGCTTTAAACTCAATATATATAGCTTAGGCTGGTCTCAAACTCATGGCAGTCTTGCCTCAGTTTCCCAAATGCTGGGATTACGGACATGCACCACCACACCTGGCTCTGGGGCTCTCTAACTGCAGAGCTCCAGCGTAGAACCAGCACTCTTCTCACTAACTCACTTCCAGGACAAGGCACTGGCCCACTTTGGGAGTGGGTAGGCTGCGCAAGAAGACTAAAATACAAAAACAGGAAAAACAACAAAAAAGATTTCAGTGGGGGTCAAGACAATATGAGGGAAGGACCTGGTCACAGGAGAACATGGCAGCAACACAGTTCTGTGAGCTAAAAAGTAAAGCCACAAATGAGCAGCCACAAGGCTATCTTGGAGGTGACCTTCCTTTGGGTCTGATATGCAAAGCAAGAAAATGCAAATTACACTGCTTCATGTCTGTCTATTCAGGATGGAGCTGGCTGGCAGATACCCATAAGGTGGTATCTGGGACCTGTGACTGTAGAGCCAGAGGTTGACAACTAAAGGGAGGCATGGGAGGAGGTGGAAGGGGACTGCACAACAGGTGGTGACCCCGTAGTACCTGAGTCCTTGCCCCTAGAGGATTGTCAGAGACATGGTGCTTCTGCACAGCATGGCCCAAAGTCAGTGAGGGAGCGTCCTCTAGCACCTCTCAAGAGCACAGCCCCAGTGGCTGTGAGGCTGGGTAAAGGGAACTGTGTCTGTGGCCACACCCAGGGTGTGTTGGAGCAGCACACATCCATTCAGTCCTCAGTTCACAAATATCTGATGAGTGCTATGGGGCAAAACACTGGCCAAGGCCCTAGGGAAAGGTGAGAACCCAGGCCCAGGTGGTCTGTGCCTACAGGGTCCAGAGTCAAGCGGGAGGGCTTAAAGTCAAGATCCCAGACAAGGTGCGTGACTACGATGAGAAGAGAAACAGAGCAAGGCACTGGCTCACTCCAAGAGTCATGGAGCTTCTCAGAGAATAGGCTAGACATTGCCAGAAGGCCAGAAATGCAGAAAGAGGCTCCAAAAAGGTATTCATTGAAGCATCCAAACAATACCAGGAGATGACCCAATCCTGTGACTTGGGGTTAAGTCAGAAAAGAACAAGTCCCAGTGCCAGCTTAGAGGTGGGCTGCAGGGCAATGTATTTAAGTTCCTCCTGCTTGGGACCAAGTCAGACCTGGCACTCATAGGGCATTGGAAAGTCTCAGCCACCAAGACTGAGAGCAGGAGGGCAGAGAGGCAGGGGGTTATTCCTTAGACCTGGAGGAAGTTTGCTGCTCCGACCCTCATAGGATCTGAGGGTGAAGTATAGGAGTTCTGTGCCCATGGGAGGAGCAAAAGGAGCAAGAGTGAGAGGAATAGAGGGGTAGTGTGTGAGTCAGCTTTTCTTTACTGTAACAAATACCTGAGATAAGTCAACCTACAACTGGAAAGGTTCATTTTGGGTCACAGTTTTGGAGGTTTCAGTTGATGATCAGTTGGCCCCATTGCTTAGGCCCTGTAGTGAGAACCCAGTACATTATGGCCTTATGGTGGGAGGCCGTGGTTGAGGAGGCCCATTCACTAATGACAAGATGCAAAAAAAGAAACAGCCAGAGACTCGGGTTCCACAATCATCTTCACAGGTATACCCCAGTGACCTAAGATTCCTACTAGGGTCCACCTCCTAAGGTTCTACAGTCTCCCAATAGTGCCAGCTGGGGAGCAGGCCTTTACTACATGGGCCTTTGGAGGCTGCTGCAGATCCAAAGCAGGCAGGACCAGGGTGGAATGCATATCTCTGTGCAAGCTGATCTCTGGCTCCACAGGAGAAAGGGTGCCGCACAGAACCACTGGCTCCCCTCCCTGTCCCCATCATGGAAACCAGATTGGCCTGCTCCCTCGGGCCACCTGCCTTCTTTCCCCACACCTGTGGGCTGGCCAAGGGCCCAGAATCCCCTTTGTCCTTAAAGGCCTTTTCACTCAGTGCCAAAGTCACCTAGCTCTGGGCCTGGGCCAGGAAGCAGCTGCTTCACTTTTTGATCTTTGGATTGTGAGAAACTGTGAGCTGCTTCCACATTTTATGACATGACACCCACTAAACCAACTGGGGGGCACCCGCTACACAATTCTCATTTAATGTCCACTGGGGCAGTGACAGTGATGACCCAGGTCAGTCTGGCACCTAATTTTGTTTGAGGAGTTGGTTGGTAGGTCATAAGCTATGAGTTTGTCTTTTTTTAATTGGGTCAGGTGGCTTTGTAAATTTATTAAATAAATTAGTATCTTAATATGCAAAAGAAAAGGAGCAAACTTAGGTGGATCATGTCTGCCCAGATGAACTATTCCTCCAGTGACTGTTAATCAGCCTATTAACTAATTGACAGATTCTAGCTTATTTAGGGACCCTTCCAACAGAGCATATCAAGACCATCCAGCAATGACACTTACTAGTGCAGTGGGACTTGCCACCTACCCACACAGTGACAGTGACTGTTACAGTCAATGAAAAAAGAAACAAAACTGAAACCTGCAGTAACA